GTTAATTTTGGTATAATTTTAAGTCATGGGCTGCTGGTTCTCTTCCCTCCTCTTCCTTTGTCCCCCTCCCCTCCTGTGATCTACCATCTGTTGCTGCACATACACAAGCCAGTAATATGATCTGGTCTGGCCAGACATTACACTCCAGTTGGCTGAACCATTGGAAGGGAGTTGCATAGAAAAACAGGAGAACAAAAAGAGGTGGAGTTACAGGAATGATGTGTCACCACAGCTGTCGAGATTGCTTCAGTGTAATCCTAGACAGATGAAGGTGTATATTTAGCCCAGCTATGTTGCTATATTTCATGTCTGTAGCCTGATGTGAGTGGCAAAGCAAGGTGAAGTGCCAGATACTCTATAAAGGTGTAAGTTATGATCATAATTGTAGCCTCAGGAAAAAAAAGTTAACCTCCAGAGTGTTTTAACTGACTGATGCACCAAACCAGTAAACAGCTGGTTATCAAGGAGCAAGGAATACTTAATTACTTTAGTGATTCATATGTGACAGGGCACATCTTCAGAGGAAACAGGAATGAGTTTTGTTTGAACTTGTTTTATAAAAAGAGCAGCAGTCATTACATACAGCTCTCATCAGGTGTTTGAAATCTAGTCGGGAAAACAGTTGTTAGATTAATGATAATGGAACTAAGTGAAAGATGGGGCAGCTCTTAGTAGCAGCAAAGATGACCGTCTTCCTTTGATGTGTATTTAGTGTTATTTGTTATTTTATCCAACACATTCATGTGGAAGAACTCCTCAGTTACTAATACATAACAATAAAATGTAATCTAGCTCAAATCATAAGCTGCAGCCTCACATAGGAACACTATAGTGTCAACAACAGATGTAATATTTACTCTGTTTTATTGGATTGTACTTGTTCCCAAGTTTCCTGGTTCAGTCATGATGAACTTTGACTTTAAGTATGCTGATCTGGTTCCAACACTTTCAGGGCTGTAGTTGGTTTAATTGCATGATGATATTGGGAGAAAAGGAGGGCATATCATTTTACCTCAGGTAAAGTTTACAGTTTTTTACCATAAAGATATGGTAATTTTATAGTAATGTGCTTCCGTACTCCACTAATTATGTTGCTCTATCCAAGCAACAGAAACAGAGAAAATTTTACTTTTTAATCCTTGCCAAGAATGATAATTTTCATCACATAAAACAATATTTTTAGGTTTTTGACCTGTATAGTAAATAAATGACTTGACTGCATTACGTAGAGCCTTTTAAAATGCCAGTTTATGTCATTTTTTCTGATTTGGCATAAACACTGAATAGCCTGTCCTGATTGTTTGGTTTGTCTGGAAAAGCTTCAGACTGAAAATCACTGCTCTTAATAATTGTACTTTGACACTTTCCCAGTTTTTCCTTATCTGTGGCCTGATGCCATATGAAACCCAGCTTATTGCCAGGGGACCTGACATATTGCAAGCTAATCGTTAAAATTTAACATTTTTTTGTTGTTCTGCGATGACAAGGATGTGAAGCGAACAAAAGGTGATGGGAAGTTAACTACAATTGTAGCTCAGGGAGATTAAAGTGAAAGCAGACGTGAAAAATCACGCTATAGTGTTTACTATAAAATCTAAGCCACAGGCATCAGTCATTCTATCTCAGATCAGAACATTTTCTGCTCAAGCACCTCTGATTTGCCTGGAAATGTTATGGTTTAAAATTTGCACATATATAAGGCTGTGAAATTATAGCTCCAACAAACAAAACCCAAAGAAAGAAACAAAAGCAACATTTTACAACTTCAACCTAAAGTGCTCTATCTATGCAAGATAGCATGGGTGCTGTGTAGGAGTAAAGTCAGTTTCAAATCATTTCAAAGGTTTTACTTGTTTATTTTTGGAAAAAGGTGTATTGACCCACTTCCAGTATGTTTTGATCAATTTGAACATGACTAGATGAAACCTTTAAATTTTCTCTGGCCTCTCAGATACTTAAAAATTTAGTATTTCCTGAATTGTAAACTGTTATATTTGACAAAATAAAACCATGTAGCCATATGTAGTCACCAGAATGACAAAAATATGACAATTTCTTCCATAAAAGCAAAAATACCAGTAGATTGTGCAATCGAAATTAGACTGTTGTTTATAGATGATACTCTAATTATAACATTGAAAATAGTAGAGTTTTATAAGTCAGGTTTAGATTATAATATATTGTGAGGTAAAGACAAAAGTACTGATGTAAAGTTTTTCATTTGTACAAATAAATATAGCAAAACAATAAAGAGTAATGAAAAGGGATTAGTTGCTTGTTTCATCTGTGTAGTCCTGTAAGCCCAAGTTGCCAATGTCTATATAGCGATTGGTAGTCTGAGAAAACAGTCAAGAAGGAATCCGGCAATCAACATGCTTGTCATTTGAATAAATGCAAATATATGTATCACATATATTATTGTTGTGATATATATGAAAAAGCAGCATCTTTGCATTTTGTAATCGTTTGCTCAGTGACGTTTAAATCTGTACAACCATTGTAAATTTTTTGACAGTTAAACTACTCCTCTGGGTGGTTTGAAAGTCAGGCCTAAATGTGTACGATAATCAAGTTTCTCTGTCTCCTTGCTGGGCGACCTCTTGACCTTTGCATGTTGAAGGTTAACATGGCTTCTGCATGTTTTGTGTACGCCCACAGTTTGTTTGTTATGGTGTGTCTGCATGTTTGCCTCAGGCACAGCTGTGTTGTTAGTCTGCTGTACAGTTACTGAACGGAGCAGTTTACTTCATTCACATTTATGTATAGGGGTATTTTACATTTTGTGTCAATCACATCTTTTTAGTTGTACATAAACTGATACGTTCACAACAATTGCTGTTTTGCCTGCTGGTATTGTCTTGTTGGAGCTAAAAATGGGAACACATAAAACTGAAGCTGTACTTTTCTGACAATTTTTTTGTCAGAGCAACTCCTCAAAAATAAGTAAAATAATAGTTACAATATGCAAATTATTGATATTAAAAATGCATCTTACACGTTGTGTTTAACCGGTTGACATTACCTCAGTTGATTACAGGTGGCATTACTATTTTTATCTATTACTACATGAAACCTTTGTGCCGAGAAAGCCAGAACCAATCAAGTTGCCTGAAAGATTTAGGCCTGAGGTCTGTTGATTGACGACTCCTGAACAGCATTCAGTTTCAAATGAGCTTTAAAATCCAGTCTCTGCTCAGTCAGGGCGTTCTCTTCCTGCCTCACATCTCAATTAAAAGGCAGAAGGGAAACTGCTTCAGCAAGACTGAGCAGATGTAGCAGCAGCAAGAGTAAGTCCTGATGACAGAGCTGGTATACTGCAGCTATACTGTAGTGCATATTACCAGGAATGTCCCTGTAATTATTATGTACTCATTTCACATTGGAAGGCCTTCTGTTTAACAGCAAGGCTTAACATAGGTTTTATGTTTATTCATTTGCAAACTGCTTTAAAACATGCATATTTATCCATAGCAGACAAGCAAACATACACACAATATACTCTTAGTGTGAGACTGGTATAGAATAAGAAGAGTAAGAGCAGAACACAAATAAGGCATAAGCAAATGATATGTAAACTAGTCAGAATAATAATAAGAGGCACTTAAAAGAGAGCAATGCCTGAAATCCTGGATGGTGCCTTCAGCTGTGTGCTTGATGTCTGGGTACACACTAAAATGGACCAAGCAGGGGTTACAGTAATTTTTTCTTACAATGTGAATGTGAATTGTTAGCTTTTAAATTTGTCAAACAACAAAAAACTGTGATCGCAGCAGTTGAGTACAGTTTTAATGAAAGTTAATAGGATTGTTCTTAAATGATGAGCTTTTGGATGGGGTGCATGGGGATTCTAAATGCTCAACATCACACTAGGCAATATCAGACTGATGTTCAAACAAATAGTCCAGTTCATTTGTGCAGTTTTCAGCATAATTTATTTTCCCCACAGGAGCAGTAGTTCATGCTTTTATTGTGGCGGGCGGGCGGGCGGGCGGGCGTGTGTGTGTGTGAGTGTGTGTGTTAGACAAAGCACTTAGAGGCATAGATAATAGCGTTGTATCAATATGCGCGATAGGGTGAGTGAGACTTGTAGTAGAAAGTGCTTTGAGTGGTCAACTTGAGTAGTAGTTATACGAATACCAGTCCATTTATTTCCCCACAAAAGAGTCCCATTTAATTACATTATAAATGTGTAATTACGTTATACTGGTAGCATAATCTACGAGAATGTAGCGTCATTTATTAGTAGATTTATATTTCATATTATAAAACTGTATCTGCAAAACACATGGTAACAATAACATAAAACTAAATGCAGTAGGGTAAATGTTGTCCCCCTCTTTTTTTATGGGGTGAACATGGCTTTCCATTGGTGGTGTGTTGGCAGGCTGTAGGAAGCTACGAACAGCCCGTCTACCTGCAGAGAGTGTCTGTTGCCAGATGGAAGCAGTCCCCAAAGTATGTGGTACAATCAGTCTGTGGGCTGCTTCAGCTTTTGATGTTTTTGACCCTTCAGTCAGCTGTGGAGAAGAGTAAAGTTATAACACACAAAGAGCTGAAATGAAATAGATATCTCTCAGTAAGGACACCTGAGCTACATGCTGTTGGGTTTTTGGAGGACTGCACAGGAGCATGATTGTGTAGGTTGACAACACCTCTTGGTAGGCTCACTATAGGTAATTAAGGACACATGTGCCGTACCAGAAAATAAGCTTTAGACTTACCCCTGCATGCTACAGGCGTGTCTACTCGAAAGCAACGGGGTATCAGCTGTTAGCTCAAGTAATCTTAAGATCTGTCAGTTTACCTGCTTTTTCTTTTTTTCTGTCAGTCACCAA